AGAGAGAGAGAGAGAGAGAGAGAGAGAGAGAGAGAGAGAGAGAGAGAGAGAGGAGTTTCTTCTGCCATTGGAAGAGAAGAGCGCGGGCAAAACAAGGCTGGCTATCTGCCTTGTCGGCGAACGTTACAGACACGTGAGTGCACGATGAAAAGACGAGAGTCCAGTCTGGCTTGTCACAAACGAGCTTCTCGCACGTCACCGGTCTGACCTCTTTGTTTCATCAAGAGGCATAGACAGGAAGAACAACAATTGCTGCACTTCAATGCTCCTGCGGTCGCTCCTCCATCCTTACCTCCCCCAGGCATCTTTCTGCACTTCAATGCTTTAAATTTGCATCAGCGGTCCATCGGCGGATCAACCGGCAAACAGAAAACGTATAAATCAGTACCTGAGTTCAGGTCATCCACATCTCTGTCATCGGCACATACAGCTGCCCCGACGGACATTTTGCTTCCCCATTCGGCTGCACCACTGGAGCGATATTGGAAGCCGGCCGAAAAGGTGCGAAAGCCTTCTTGTCCCTCTTTCTCAGTGTCTGTATTCCTGTAGCTCGTGCACACTCTCCTGTTTTTCTTTGCGACCATGTTTACATCTCTCTCCCCCTCTCTCTCACACACACACTGTGTTTCTCTCTCTCTCTCAAACAGTTTTTTTTGTTTCTCTCTCTCTCTGTTTGTGTTTGCGCCAGCTTGTGTTTTTCTCAGTTGCACACGAGTAAGGGAATGCGAAGCATTCGAACGTGTCCGTAGGTCCGAAGTCGGAATTGTCTTCAGGTATAAGAGGTGGGAGCGGAGTCGGGGCGAGAGGCGGAGGTAATGGTGGAGTCGGGGCGGAAGGCGGAGGTGATAGTAGAGTTGCGGCGGGAGGCAGAGGTCGGAGGTCGGGGGCGGAGGTGGAGGTGGGAGGCGGAGGCGGAGGTGGAGGTGGTGGGAGAGTCGGGGCGGGAGGCGGAGGTCGGGGGTCGGAGTACGAGGCGGGAGCGGCGGCAGGAGTGGTGACGCGGAGAGAGAGAGAGAGAGAGAGAGGCGGAGGCGAAAGTGGCGTGCAATCGTGGGCGAAGGCGGAGGTGCGCGGTGGGAGCGGAGTCCGTGGTCGAGGTGGATGGGGAGGTGGGAGGTGGGAGGTGGGA